ATCCCCGCTTTATGATTTATATTGCTAAGTAACTTATTTAAGGTTTAATAATATCTATCAAAAAGATTTCCGAGGTAAAATTTATAGCATAAATAACAAATTTCACAATGAATAAACAGTTTAGGCAATTAAAATTTCATGTAGAAGAAGAGATGCTTCTTTTCCCACTAAGACTCTTTACAATCGTCCGTTCGGCCTGTGGTACTCAACATTGGGCCTCCAGACTCTGTATCGGGCCTCTTTCATGGCCTTATTCGGTTTACGAATCCGGCAATGTTTGCCATACTTATGAGTCGATTCTTATCCACGAACTGGGCGGACTTGCTGACGTCGATGAAATCCGACACGATGCACCGACCGAATTGCAGCACGAGACGGATGGATCCCACGTGCGGGCGAGATCGAGGCCCAAATGTATCCGTGGATTGCGTTTGATGGAATTCCCATAGAAGATTCAGAAATCTAGGCGTTTGGCAGGGGAATGACTATTTGTGGTCTGCTGTTTCCAGTTGACCGATAAAGCCGCGTGATACGATCCTAATTCCTCTTTCCTCCACCAAATCCTGCAATTGAATTCTTGATCATCGAAAGCCCCCAGTTGTTAATGATGCCTTCAGCGTAAAAGCCTGCTTTGGACGAACATTTCCTGTACTTAAAAAGCTCCCCTTCTCCTCGTTTTTCTGTTCTCTTTTAGCCTTCTCCTTCGCCGGGGGCGCAACGGTCGGAAACCGGAGGAAAGCGATAGAGCGAAGCAAAGAAAATATAGAAAAATCAGCTTTTGATCTGGTGAGAGCAAATGAGAAGCAGGAATAGGAAGGAGAAGCCAACCCTAAGCTTGAGATTTGGTTCTCGACGGCAGAAGAAGGGGAGTCGAGGGAAGAGATCGAGCATAAAAGTATGGAGCCGCTGGTAGGAGTGGTGGCATTTCTTGTCCGGTTCCTTTTTTCTTGAAAGGATTCGTGGAAAGAGGGGAAGGGGAAAAGGGGAAAGATGGTGGTGGATGACTGCTGCTTTTTCAACAAGGTGCGGCATTTCGTCGTCTTCTTCTTTTCCCTTTGCTTTTCACCTGTTCAGTTATGATACCGGATCAGGCAGTAAAACGAAAGATTCTATATTGAGGTGAAAGTTGGGATCTTTGATGGGCCTTTGATATAATTCGGTGAAGAAGGTGTATCCATCTATGTTCTTTGATATGAAGATTTTATTTTGTTACGCTTTTCGGCTTCTCTTTGATGGTAGCAACATGCATACTTGTTCCTTCAACATTATTCTTGATTCGCTCGTTCGTGTTGTTTGAATGCGTGGGATCGTTTTCCGTTTTGTGCCAATTGGATCGGTCCTGACCACCCTTTAGTTTTTGTTCTTTTTTATTGTCATGATCTCCTTTCAATGTGGAGCTTCTTGGAGCTGTCATCTCATATTTTGGCTAGTTTCCATTCGGTACATTTTTAAGCACTCTAGAATAATAGAAGAAGACGGGTTATATGAAAGGTGGTTCAATGATTTTATGAGCTTTGATCGATTTCACAACATGATTTGTATAATGCAGGATTCACTGGTCACAAAGCCTTCAAAGAAATATCCACTTGTGCTGTGGATGGCAATATTGGGGTTGATCATGATTAGTGGCGTCTATATATTCTCCCTATGTCTGAAACTAAGAGTGTTTGTAGTAACCCCAAATCAGTGGAAGGGGAAAGCGACAAAGCAAACCTGTCATGATCTTCGCATCCCACAGTCTGAGCTTCGTTATATGCATTATCCAGAACCGACTACTTATAGTAGGTAATAGAATTAGATTGGCTAGGAAAGGTTTTTTCATTAGGTTCATGCTAGTTGGATAGTGAACATTTGATTTATGTTGTAGGAAAGAATGCACTTGCACACCAGTTCGGTTCTTTGCTATTCTATCGATGCAGAGGTCTGGGAGTGGATGGTTTGAAACATTGTTAAACAGTCATGTTAATGTCAGCTCTAACGGCGAAATTTTCTCTGTAAAAGAAAGGAGGGTTAACATTTCATCCATCACGGAGACACTGGACAAAGTCTACAACTTGGATTGGTATAGTAGTGCTTCTAAAAATGAATGCACTGCAGCTGTTGGCCTCAAGTGGATGCTTAATCAGGTAAAACTCTTTTCTAAATAGAAGATTAATTTCATTTATGTTTGAAGTGGTCTATTTTGATTAATTAGTTTTTTTGTATTAATATCATTTTTTCTGAAACTCCATTCTGGACGTTTCAGATATGAAATTAGGGCTTTTTGAGACTGCAAAATATATTACAGAGATTTCTTTAGTTGCCCTTCTTGCCGTTTCGTTATCTGCGCTTATTCTACCATCACACTTTGTTTCTTCTGAAGGGAAATGCTATCAGTGGTAGAATCATAAAAATGGGGGATGTAAGTTCGTAGTTGTGCATTATATGATTACCTTTTCCATGATAGAGCTTGAAAAGAAGTGGGATTTATCTATTTCAAGGGATCATTTTTGTTCATTAAGGTTATGGTGGCAACTTCTTGGAAGCTGTTACATCTTTATGCAATAAGCAGTGAGATTCATGCTAACCTGACATGCTTTCTGACTTATGGAATATGCCATAGCGGTTATTATGGTAATCATGGTTAGTGCTATAGCAGGCTCCACGGAAGCCAGGCTGTGATATAACTCGGTTTTCTTTTGATCTTACGGTTTGTGCTTAGAATTGTGCCCAACCTTTTCCCATGTGTATGCCCGATGAGTTGTAAGGCCTTTGTTCTTCACGACCATGCTAGAAATATATATAAAATATTGTAAAAAAATTATAAAATTGTCCAAATAATATGATAATGATGAGGTACCCGATTATGAGCTGTGGCATGTGTTGTTCTCTACTGGCTGCACTATCTTCTGCTTCCGGTGGCTCACTAACACATGGAAGATCTCTCTCTCACCCTTTTCTGATTCCTTTCCCTTTCTTTCTTACCTACCTCAATGCCATGACTATGTTTTATTTTTGGTGGGTTTTGTGCTAGTTGATCTTGTTTTCATTCTTCATGACAAAGTGCACATAAATTGGAAATGGAGGAGAGAAGGAGAAGGGTCTGTGGCTTAAATCACATAATATAAGTCGCTATGGTCATAGGGATTATGGCATCAGGCATGGGGCCTTGTTGCCTTCCAAATGCCTTGAACACCCTTGGTTGCAATGTGCCTGTCCAGCAAAAATAGCATGATGGTTCTATATCTGACTGTATAATTGGATTAAATATATCAATCCAAGGCCTATTGAATTTTATTCTATAAAAAGTTATGCAGCTCTGTTTATTTTACCTCATGGAGGCAATGGTATCCTGTTATGAAGTGATTTCTGCTTCAAGAGAAATTACATGTATTGATTGTAAGATTAGTATTATCTTTAAGATTCATTGGGTATTTGATTCTTTTATCAGATTTGGATTATGATTCTTGGTGGCACCAACTGATAACTCGCCTACTTATGCCTGTGAAAATTCTCAGTAATTTTGTAATCAGATTTAATTCTTGTGTATCTGTTGTATAGGGTCTCATGCAGCACCACAAAGAGATAATCAAATACTTCAACAAGAGGGGAGTTTCTGCAATACTTCTGTTCAGAAGAAATCTACTTCGTCGTTTAGTTTCAGTACTCGCAAATTCTCATGATCGGAATGCCAAGCAACTAAATGGGACCCATAAAGCTCATGTACATTCCAAGAACGAGGTCATGTACTTCTATACTTGTTGCACTCAAGAGACATTCTTACATAAAACCATGAGACAACCGAGATAGACTGTAACCTTGCTTGGTGGGATAAATCTACATTCAAGATCTTGAAATTTTGTTATTTTCATGCCGTGCAGGCTGATGTGCTCGCAAGATATAAGCCTACGATCAACACAACTTTGTTGATCCCGGAACTGAAGCTTACAGATAAATGGGGTGCTGATGCTCTGGAACACTTCAAGAGCACCCGCCATATTCGGCTCTACTACGAGGATCTTGTCCATAACAGCACTGTGAGAATCTCTATGGTTTTGTCATATAAACCATAAGTTGCATGTCGCAGTTCAAACCTATTAATGGTAGTAGGGTTCGGTTTCTGCAGAAGCTGATGGATGTCCTAGACTTTCTAAGATTGCCTCAACAAATGCTTTCCAGCCGTCACGTAAAGATCCACAGTAAGTCATTGTCTGATCAGATTGAGAACTGGGATGCTGTCTACACTGCTCTGAAGGGAACAGAGTACGAGAGCTTCCTGAATGCCGATTATCAAATTTAGCAAGGTATTATGAGCAGCTCTGTTGTTGTAAATAACTTTTTTTTTTCTTTTCTTCTTATACAAGCAGCTTTGACACCGGCACAGGTGTGGTTAGGCAAATTTTTGTCCTTCCATTCTAACAGATTTCTTTCAAAGGTTTCTTGAGCTGTGAGGTCTACTAATCTGTAAATCATTCCAATTCACATTCAAAGTTAATGAAGATTGGTATCAGATTTAGGTGCATATTAACTTTTTTGCTTTCGGGATGTTTCCTTCGAACTGCGATGATTACTTGTTTGTACAACATGTAACATGGATTTTTGTGTCATCGAGAAGCATTAGTAACGGGCTCTTTAATCTATGAGTTTGTTTGAGGAAACAAGGTGTGCTGATTTTTTGTTATCACTTCTTGGTCTTGGATTTTAGTGGTATTATTATTATGTCTTGTGCATTGTTCCTTCAGCTCAATGATGACTATTTATCCATCACTTCACCAACTCATTTCACTTCAAACTCATGGCCAATCCAGTGGGCACTTCTGCTTGGTTGTTGGTGTAATGAATTGCCCTTCCAGTTAAGCATATTGGCCTCAGCACCTTCTTGCTCATCACTGAAATCAACTTCATGATCTGGGCATTGCAGCAGCGCTGAAACACTCTTCTTTCTTGGTCAATATCTTTTTTATCTTCTTCTTTCTTTCAGCAAAAGCTGGCCATTGCATACTAAGCTCTGTGGAAGTGGGACAAGGTCACCATGACAAGGTGAAGAGAAGTGAACCATTACTCAATGGACTCACTCACTCACTCCCATGTTGTACCTCCTATCACATCATGGTACCCAACTTTATGTTTTCTTGTCTGGAGTTCTGCAAGAGTCAACTGCACACTGACCATGGTCTGCTATGATAATGTGTTGCAAGCATTCAGCAAGCTACACATGCTTCAAAATCCCCACATCCAAGAAGATGATACTTAGAGAATGCTTCTACAGTCATCATAAGGCAGCTCCACGCCCAAATCATGATTCCCTTCAAGTACCAACCGTAAATATCTGCTTTTATAATCTGCTTAAGAAGAAATATGAATGCAGTAAAAGCTTCGTTGAAAGTCATTTATACACAGAAGAAGCTACATGCTTTTTCCAGGCTCATTTGTGCATTTAGGGATCATACTTTAGTCTCCAGTGAGGCACATATGAAGTGATGGTAGCAAGAACGATTATGACAAAAGAAGAGCCAAACTAATCAGAACTCTCAAGGGAACAATCCAACATCATTCATTTTCACCTGCACAAAGGCATTGCTCTCAATCAGCTTTAGGAGTGTAGGAAAGGAGACAAGCATAATCTTCTTACGCTGGGGAACCAACAGATTGTTCATGATCTGTACAAGAGTATGTGGATTGCTGTGAGTTCAACCCTATGGGATTAGTCGGGAACAAAGCATGGGAAGTGATCTGGAACCACTTGGATTTGATATTGTGTTCTTCATGACTTCTGCCATCTGTGTTTGCATCTTCTTACAGATCTTTTCCAGTTCTGTTACTCTCCATTGCATCTCATGCAATTGGGCACTGAGTTTCTCATTGTCCGTGGAGCAATCAAGCTTGTTGTTATCAAATCGATTCTTCTTGTGTTTACTATCCTTGGGAGGAGCAGAGTCTGTGTTCTGAAGTAGACTCTTGAGCTTTGATTGCTGAGAAATGAGTGCTTGCACTGCTGTTCTTGATGGAAATTTCGGATTCCCAGCAAGATGCATGCAGGATTCTGATGAGAGCATATCATGGTTTATGGCATAGCAAATCTTCATCCTCTCTTCCTCTGATAGTTCACCATGAACCTGACAAAAGATTGCTCTAAGAATTCAACTTGAAGTTTAGCCAAACAGAAGTATGATGAACTGACTGATATGAAGTGATTGTGCCATGGATCATGTCGAACATATACCTCAAGATACAAGTCAACGGCTCGGTAAATTGCATCATGAGAATCCCTTGCAGCATCAGGGAGAATTGTGATCAGCGCAGCAAACTTGGAGGGTTCCAAGGAAGGATCTGGGGCAACTTCAGCCAAGTACGAGTCGATCAAGCACCCCACCCGCTTCATTCGAGTCATCGATGCCTGACCTACACTGGCAAGGAAAGATTTCAAGAACCTTAGAACAAGACTCACATCATAAAGACTGCCAATTCCGATCGGAGCAGGAATCAGCAAACCGTCCAGTGTTGTTTGGTCGATCTGGCTGCCGATCATGTTCTCCAGTCTGCCATGGCAAGACTTGCTCAATCTCAGGGACGAAGCAACTCGGAGGATGTTGAACAAGCCCTTGCAAGAAACACAGCTTCTATCGAGGGAATGGAGCAGGTCGATGGCAGTCTCAGTGGCCTTCCTCTTCTCTGATGGAGAACCGTGAGCTCCGCATTTGAGGTAGTAGAACAGGAACCTACTGATCATGACATTGTCTACCTTCTGAAGAACCATGCTCGCGATGACTTGCTGAATCATGTCAGTGTTCAAGAGTGCAAGATCCTCGAACCACCATGCCCGGTGGATGCCGCTTCTTGTGCTTATAGAACTTCTTGTGTCACAGGAGAATCGGAAAGCCGAGCTCTCAGGAGAGGAGCCTGATGGAGTCGTATCACCAACACCAGCTGTGGTGATCCTCCCTGCTACGGAGTCTATAATCCTGTCAAGGATGCCTGAGGAAATGGCTGATGGAAGGAAGTCTTGGCATTGTCTCAAGGCACTCATGATCTCAGACCATGACCAACATGGTATTCCCAGTAGATAAACTTCAGTCAGCTTGATCAAGCTTGGGAAGGAAGAGGCATCCTCTGTCATCTCCATGTAGTCTGCAACACAATGTAGAAGGCACGCATCGGAAGGGGTTATTTGGATTCTGCCATTGTTGTAGCAGAATCTTGCCATGAGCTCGAATCCACGGACGCTTCCCGGGAAGTTGCGGAATACAACTTTCGAGGTTTCTGCGGTCGATGAGAGTGATGGCTTGCTGAAGAGCTTCCTCAGCCTACCAGAGAAGGATGAGAGGATACCCTGCAAGTCATCAAGATCACCAACAATATGACAAGCCAATGAAGCTCTACAACACAACATAGAAACTTTGCCGAGAGTCAAAGATCATTACAAGCAAGTTCAAATTTCAATCAAGATCAGCCAACAGAAATTAGTGATAGCAATTAAATAAGGTGCAGAAACACACATCGGCTCCACTATTTCATCAGTCCACAGCTACAGTATAAGCTTTTCCTTGCTGAAAACATACTTTAGCTCTTGTAGCGACCGCCAAAAGCATTAAATTTATGAAAGGCAGCAAGAAAAAGAGAGGATTTTGTTAGGAGAAGTTGATGGGAAAGGAGCTGCAGATAAAGAGATCATAAATGAATGAATAGGACGACTAAGAATTTGTAGCTTATCAAGAGAGAAACAAGAAGAAGAAGAACGAAGATCATCGGAACAGAATTAGATGGATCAGCTGCAAAACAATTAGGTAGAAGACAGCCAAATATATGCTGGTAATAGATCACAACTTTCACTTGGCAACATAAAATTTCAAGGACAGAGGAATCCTCGAAGAGCACATCCTTTCTCGGAAGATACCAAAGTACAGATTTCAGCTGCACAGAGTTGATTCAAACTCTCCATTGAATTGCACATGATGAGATGAGAAAGCTTGCCTTGGACACCAGGAAAGCCTCTTCGCCATTAACGTCCACTTCAAGATCGCAAATCGCCACCATTGCTTAGAGTCAGAAAAGGAAGGTCAGGGGCACTTAACCAAAGATTTCCAGCTTGTCAGAGTTGATCACTTGGACAAGCAAGGACTACCATGATGAAGGTGGGAAAGGAGGTGGAATGCAAACAGGAGTCCACAAGGCCATGCTCCCAGGTGAAGAGTATCTGGAGAAAGAGATGGAGTCTCTTTGGATGGTCAATGAAGAGTAAGATAAGGAAAGAAAAAGATGGAGGAAAAAGGAGTCACACTTGGAAGGCACCAAGGCCCAGAAGACAGATGTAAAGGGAGAGGAAGGAGAGGGGCTAGAAGTGTTGAACAAGCGACCCATCCAAATAGTTGGTGGTGAGACTATGATAGATAGCTCTCACAAAGTCTCTTCTCCTACTGTTTCCGAGTGTGTGTGTGCCATGCTGGTACCTCCATCAACCTTTTGAGCTCAAGTTGCTGTGTTATCCTTGAGCTTCTTCCTCTCTTGGTACTCTCATAAAATTTTATTATTTAATCTGGTACAATAAAAATTTTAATTTTTCTCATGGATATTATATTGATTTCTGATTGGTTGATCTTTGGATTATATTCTTAGTTTTGATGCCTCCGGCCAAATTCTAGATCAAACTTTTAACTGGCCAAACCAGGCCAAGTTGTAGGACAAGGTCAACAGAGATGGGACCATTCATTCTCCTCTCTTGGAGGATTGAGTCCATCAACCCATGTGGTTGTAACATGACTGTGTCATCAATCTCCTCAAGGCAAGGGACCATTGGCATCCATGGGGGTTGTGACTACTGCATTCTCTGTCTGAACCAGATGACCCTGAGAGGCATTCTGCATAATTAACATGACTGCCAAGGACCTGTTTGAGGCTTTTGAGCCACTTGGAGTAGGAAGCTTGAGCTGATGGACCTACTCAAGTTGACATGTTTTGGATCTTGAACTGTGTTCGCTTGATTTGAAGCTCTCATTATCTCCTTTCAGATGGCAGGCAAAAATATTAGCAGATATGATTTTGACAGAAAGAACATTATTAATCAATCATCATTCATTTGACCTTCATTTGACCTTCATATGATATTCACATTGACATAAACATTGAAAGAAGAACATAAGAAGTAAAAATAGATCAATGTGAGATTGGTAGAAGTAATTAGGTGCAGATGATACATCAGGAGTTCGACATTTTCATCTCAAGTTTTTTTTTATCTCAATCTTTGTACAAATGACACTGTAAAAACTCGATGTTTCGATCTCAAAAACACCTTGAATAAACTTAGTCAAATCATGACATTAATGATATTTTTTTAATAGACTTCAACCTAAGGTTATGGTTAATTCTTACAAGCAAGGACTCAAAGACACCCACCCATCCATAAAACTTACAACCAGAACATTAGATTGAAGAAAGTCAAACTATTTAGTTGGGTGCCCAATCACTCTTTGAAGTGCTAAGTTGGGAAAGGAAGATATGGACCTGCAGGACTAACAGGGACAAAAGGGTTAAGCAAAATGCTTAATTGAAATGAGCTGATAATTTCGTAAGGTTTCATCAAACACATCAATTTCAAGAAGGCACTGTGTTTACCGGCCAAGAAAGAAGGTCGACAAATAGGTTGGAATTGAAAAACAAAGCATGAAAGAAATTCTAAATATAACGTTCTGAGATTGGAACAAAGCGAACAAAAATGGGGTCTTTCCCACATATGCACTACTTCAGTATTAATTATTGGTAAATCTTTACGTCGTAGTCGAGGTGTCAACACGACTCGGTCTAATCCTAGATGTATAAGATTACCCATGTGGATGCTCGGGTGGTGAGGGCGAGAGTCGAGTCAGGTCGGGTTCGAATTTTATCCCCCGAGTGCGGTCTTCTCTCTTAGCGAGTGGTCTATTTCTTCGTCGTTGGACTCCTACACACAGGTCAAGGTCGAGAGGGAGATTTTTCGACTCGACCTCTCCGAAGCTTAAGTTAGCTTTTAGTGAAATGAGAAAGAGTTGTGTGTTCGAAGTCCTCCTCTTGTTTAAGGAGGGTTAGTTTTTATACCTGCGAGGATGAGTTGGTCGTACGGGGTCAATTAACTACGGTCAACTCTTCGGGCGACCGATTGCACGAATTGGCACCGCGCGACATCGCCCCGAGCTTTTCGGGACGACTGTACCGTGATGATATCATTTGTATGGAAGGGGCGATAAGCGACTGCCCGTCACGTGTGTGCTACGCGCCACATCGTACTTGAGGTTCCACGTTTGCATCGTCGTATCTGCTTACCTGGGTTCACATGGGCGATACTAAAATATGTCATGTCAAACTGAAACAGCAATAAACATAAAGCCGGTTTCAAATAATTATAAGAATCGTCACGATAACATACCCTGAATTGGTTAGCCCAAACAGATTCAAATCTCTGAGCGCAACTTACCCCCAAAATTAGTTAGCCTACAATCAACCAGATTGCATCATCGTGTCTGCTTGCCTGAGTTCATGTGAACGATGCTAAAATATGTCTTATCAAACTGAAAGAACAATAAACATAAAATCGATTTTAAATCATTATAAGAATTGTCACGTAAGATAACATGCCCTGAATTAGTTAGGCCCAACAGATTCAAATATCTGAGCACAACTTTCCCCCAGAATTGATTAGCCCACAATCAACCAGACTGCAACCATTTCAAAGGTTGTAGTCTCACTTGCATCGATCCGTGATAAAGAATCGATCAATAACCATTAATTCGCCTTTAAACAGGCCCAGAATGGAAACTGGCCGAGCCCCTTCGCTGGAGAAACCCGCTGCGTTCCCCTCCTTCACCTCGGGATACATTGGAGATCTTGCCCTCGCCTGATCCCTTGCCCTATCTGTATAAGATCCCAATACGGTGCTCTCCCTCACTTCCGCGTAGGCGACCGCTCACTACACCGATCTCGGCCTCTCTTTCAAGGTTCCGATCTGTGTCATCCACAAGCCGAACTGTCTCTCGAAGGCTACGCTCCAGGCCGTCCGTAATTTCGTCGGATCTGATGACCTTCACCTCGGGTGGCTTCGACTGCCACCGGCCTGACGTGACCTTCTCAGCAGCGCTGGCCTCAGCAAGCCTCGCGGCGGACCACATTGAGGTGGTGGGTCGTGCGTCTCGATTCAGACCCCAAGCAATAGGAGCAGAACCGAAGCTGCTCGAGGGGTTCGGAAGCGGGGTACAGGGGCGGGGGCACCATCGCGGTCGAGATGGGGCGCTCAGCGTCAGAACTGGCGGAGGGTGTTATCGGGGTGGCGAGGGGAGCAGGAGGCGTCGAACGGCTTTCGCTCGTCCTCATCGAAGTGACGGCCGATGTGCGGCGCGTGAGGGAGGAAAGCGGAGGCCGCGCCTGTCCGGTCCGGGGCGGGGGAGGGAGCGGTCGTAGTGGTCGGGCTCGCTGGGTCGATCGGACGGCCAGAGGCTGAAGAGGAAGAACGGGAGACAGATTAGGGTGGTTCCAATGACTGTGAAAAGAGAGTAAAGGGGAGAATATCGTACTGAGGAGAGGGAAGAAGTGTGTAGCGAGCGGTACGTCGCGGCGAAAGCAGGAGCGGACGAGAAGTGAGGAGGGGAAGGGGATGGATCCGCCATGGAAGTCCATGTGCGTAATCGTCGTCGCCTTCGTCTTCGACATCTTCTTCTCCGTGCTTCCTGCCTCCTTTTGCTCGTTTCTCTGTCCTGCGTGTGGTCTTCAAACAGAAGCAGAGGTGGGAGGGTGTGACGGATGATCTCTTTCCTAATGATGCTGGACGGTGACGATGAGGTGATGGAGCACGAGAGATAGGGGGGTCCCACGCTTTTGATGGGCTTTAAACGCGAAGGTTGGCGATTTTTAACGGGTCGTTTTGTTATTTTTTATTTCCTTCTCATTTCTTTCGAATTAAATTTAAATATCCTGCTTGCCTTTTTTTCCTTTTTTTTATAACGCTCCAAAGAAAATTTATGATAATTTTTTTCCTTTTTTTCTTTTGGTATTTTATTATTTGGCTTTGAGCTTATGGTAAATTTATGATCTTAAATGGTTAATAACTATTTTTTATTTAATGTGTCTTTTTTATTTTTTTTAAGTGTATAAAATATTGTTTTTTTCCTTTTATAATATAATACATTCTCTAAGAAGTGGATAATTAGAATGAAGATGAGTTGTCATCAACACAATGGAGAGAAAAGGAAAATAAGTCATATTTTGTTGTCTATTGTTTGTGATCATATGCATGTAATATAAACGAGTTGTCATGTGTCAACTGTTGGCATTCCGTTCTCTCTAAAGAGGTTTCCATGTGGGAGAAGAGTCTCGATTTTGCCAACAAAAGCCACGCCATTTCAATTCCCCTCTCACGCGGCTTCCCCCCGCTTTGGTCGCCTTCGGCCCTCCTCCCTCCTCCCGAAGTCCACAGGCGACATTTAGGAGGAAGAGATTGTTCTCCGCGAGCTTCCGTTTCCGTTCATCGTTTCCGATCCCAAAGGAGCTCCCTTTCCCCTTCGTCAGCTGCCATTAGGACATAATTTTCTTCCTCCGAGGCCGCTTGTTTGGGACATCAGCTCGTTTGTGTCGATTTACTCGAAAGGGGAGGGCATCGTGGGCGATTCGAGGTTCCTCTTGGCGACGTTGGGGCTTTTCTCTTACGTAACTCGTTCTTTGGCATGATTTGCTCCATCTCCTGGCACGATGCTCGTGGCATTCATCCTGTTTGGCAACTCAAAGGCGGTGATCTTTGGCGCGATTTGATCCGTTTCTTGGTTTCTCGGAGAGAAAAGTAGACATTTTTTAGCATTATAATTCGGAGGTCCGAGTCTGTTTTATTATTTCAACAAGGGAAAGGATCGATTTTTGAGCATCCTCTGGATTCTCAGCAACGCGTTGAGGCACGTGTAGTCCCCAGGCGCGGGTCTTGGTTTGCACCTTTCGTTAAGGTGGCTGCTTTCCGATTTTAGCTTTCTGGAATTCATCTGGTCAAGGAGCAATAGGTCGCAAAAAATTGAAGGATTTTTCGCCTTTTCCGCTTCTGCTGATTCTTGTCGTCGAAGATAAGCATTTTCTTTCAGGAAACCTCATCTGGGCTCTTGGTTCTGGAGATAAAGAAAAAGATGCCACTGTTTTCTTATTTCTGAGCGAGGAAAAAAGTGCAACGTTTTGAGCTAATTCCCATGATGTTTTGGGAGGTGATTGGGATAACATATTTATGACATGAGAAGATTAGTCTTTGCCTCTAACATCTGTCAGAGAGATTATGGCTATAAGCAGGAAAGCTTCGGCCGTTGCATGTATGGTCTTGTTTTCCGTTCTCGTGACAAAAGTTTGGCCGGGAAGACAGAGCCAATTCTTCAATTTGGCTGATTCTTTTGTTCCCAATATGGTGAGAAGGATGATTTGTTGTAGTCTTGATCTTTCTTTCTTCCGGATTGTGACTGGAATTATATCCCATAACTAGGTTAAACAAATACGCTTTTCTACTGAGTAGACTAGCACAACTGCCTTTAATGGAATTTTAGCTTGATTTGTTTAGAAAACTCTTTTTGGATGATTCATCGTACTTTCTAATCTTCACTGCAATACAACTGGAGGGGTGCACAATTTTTCCATCGAGTTAATTTCTTGATTTGGACTCTCTTCATATTCAATGCATCATATTCTGTTGCATAAAATGGTAATTAGTTGAAAGAAAATTTTGCAAACAGGGTAAGAATTAGTCAGATGAGATGAAGTATGCATCTGCAATCGATAATCAAATGTCAATATGATTAGTAGATACGAAATGTTGGTGCACAGCTGTAGGTTTTAGATTTATGCCTTGGCATTTCCCACATTTTAGTTCATTGAAGAAATCTAGAATCTTCTTGTTCAAACATAAGCTTCCAAGTTTTCACAATAAATGTAATCTGCTGCAGAGATTTGTCATTCCTGTGTCAATTTTGTTATGTAAAACTATTGCTTCATGTTTTTCGGTTGTTGTGACATAGGTCAAACATACCAAACAATCTTCAGGATTCCAAATTACTGATGTAAATTCGTAATAATGTTGCAAATGTTAACATTTGTTGCCTAAATTCTGTTAAAGTTATTGATTTCTTGTCCCTCAAAGTTGTGTACAAGTTATGAACTTTGGCGGTGTGATGCAAAAAGGTGTAGATATTTTGCCCCTAAACATCCTTCCTATATGTCAAAATAATTGCCTATGTGAACATGATTTCTGTTAGAACATCAGAATTCAAATGAAAACTTTTACTTTGTGCTTGAACTTACAAAAACAAATTATATTTACTTAAAATTGCACAATCCATCCATGTCAATGCATATTAACATGTGTACTTGTCCTATTATTTTCTGCCATTTTAGATGCTTCATCAATTTAGATACCATTTTAGATTTTAACATCTGTATCATGACTACGATCGCATGGTATAAATCCAAAATAAGCTGCTGATGAGATGCAAAATTTACAGGTGGAAAAGATGTTGCTTGATTGTGGTCTACATCCAAAAGATGTAAAAGAAATTATGAAAAAATTAGACTTCTCCCTTTTGGACGACATGATCAAAGATTCCAGACAAAACCAAGTAAAAGTGGGGTTGCTTGCAAAAGACAATGAAGAAAAAGGTGTGGCTGCACTATCTTCACGCCTCAAGTATTTCTTACTTATATGTTTGGGTAAACATATTCATCTTGCTCATACAGGAGAGAAGAACTCTATGAGAAATTGGTACTATAATCTTGAACCATTAATCAGACGTTATCCCGCTTCAAGGAGGAATCTGGCTGATCACCCTACACCAACCATGGTCCCTACCCATGCACCACCAACGTTTTGTTCCCCTGCTTATGCTTCAGCTTCATTTCCATATGTTTCATCTGGCCCTTCTAAGTCTAGTCCAGCACCTCCCTCTATCCTAAGACCTGCACGTACGCTAACCCATGCTTCCAGTAAATTTGTTCCACCAGCTTTCGATGAAATGAGCCCAGATGAAACTGCAGATTTTCTAGCTAAGGAGCAAGAGGAAACCAACAAAACAATTGCTGTTGCAGTTGCTTTAAGCGTAGCAGGAACCTCTTTTGTTGCAGCAATTCTGTTTATTCTATATATTAATTGCCGTAGAAAAAAAGTTTACTCAAGTAATGACTTGAAGGATGACAAGCCACTCCTAAGTTTGAGTTTGAGTGACTTCTCTGGTATGAAAAGTTTATATACTTGTTCCTTTATGTATGAGTATTACTTCAGAGACTGATTGTGAATGTGTTTCCAGATTCTTCACAAAACTCTGGCATAGCAACTTCGAGTGAGAAGAATAAGTCAGGAGTTTTGTCTCTCAAATCCGAATCAATCCAAGTTGGTGATGCTTCACCCTTGAGTGTTGGCTCAGCTGAGGTTCCATCATCCAAATTACACTCTGGACATTTAAGTTCATCTATGGAGCTATCTGGTGCACCAACCAATGGACCAGCAGAAAAGCCCACTTCCAAACCTCCACCTCCGCCTCCGCCTCCTCCTCCACCTTCACCTCTACCTCGATCACCACCTTCACCTCCATCTCCATCTTCACCTTCACCTCCACCTCCACCTCCACCTCCATCTCCATCTCCATCTCCATCACCATCTCCTCCTCCACTTCCACCTCCACGATCTCCACAACCTCCACCACCACCACCTGTAATGGCTCCTCCAGTTCCAAAGGCTGTTCCTTCGGCTCCTGTTCCACCCCCTCCCCCATCCATCAAAAGACCTGGTGGTCCCCCTCCACCTCCACCAAAAGCTGCTTCTGTTCCTCGTGCACCAAAAATAAACATGGGTCCATCAAAAGTGCCTCCGCCATCCCCTCTTGGGCCCCAACATTCTGTATCAGATGGTGCACCAAAAACAAAGCTCAAACCATTATTTTGGGATAAAGTTCTTGCAAACCCTGATCAATCTATGGTGTGGAATCAGATTAAGTCGGGTTCATTCCAGTAAGCTCTCCAGTGTCTCATCTTTTGGATCTTCTCCATAGTCTTATGTTGAACATAATAACTTCTGTCTATAGGTTTGATGAGGAGATGATTGAAAGTCTTTTTGGTTACAATTCTGCTAATAAACCCAAAAATTGTGGGAAGGGCTTATCATCAAAGGTTCCTGTTGAATATGTTCGGATTCTTGATGCCAAGAAGTCCCAAAATTTGGCTATTTCATTAAAGGCACTGAATGTGAAAATAGAAGGAGTTCGTGATGCTCTTATGGAAGGTAGGTTTTTTTCATTATATTCCAAAACTATTGTGAGAAAGATTCTATTAGAAGTTAGAAAAAGAATACTTTGGTGAATTTTTCATGACAACTCAAACTGTTCAATTTAGTTTCTTTCTGGATCAGTTCCTTTACATATATGTTGTTGGTGGTGGCACCTAATTTATGTTCATCCTTATGAGACAATTATGCTCCCTGATTCACAATGTGGAAATTGAACAATTGGCAGAATATATGATTTTGATACTTAACGTTTCAACTTGTATTACCCTATTACTTGCTACGGAATATTGGATAATATACATAAAAAAGAAAATGATGAAAAAAAGGATTTCTTTTGTGTACTCACAAGTAGAAAATTTAAGGAAACTCGTCTATAATGCTTTATTATGTGTCTTGTCCTGATGATTTGCCAAATCTTAGAATCCAGTTGTTCCTTTTTCTTTTTTTGGTAAGAAAGCTCCTCTTATTGCAAATCATGATACATGCCGTGGTCTCCTGATTCTGTTTGTTGCCGTTACATACTAAATTATTTTGTCTACTTTCTTTTGAGTCTCAATATATATCCTTTAGCTTGTAGCTATGTTAATTTGTGTGTTGTAATACTTGATTGATTTTTCTGAACAAGGAAAAAAGCTTCCAGTGGAGTTACTACAAGTGTTGTTTCTGTTACATACTAAATTATCTTGTCTACTCTCTTTTGGGTCTCAATATATATCCTTTAAGTTGTAGCTATGTATAATTTGTGTGTTGTAATAATTGATTGATTTTTCTGAAAAAGGAAAAAAGCTTCCAGTGGAGTTACTACAAACATTGATAAAGATGGCTCCTACAACTGATGAAGAGCTGAAGCTTCGATTGTATACTGGTGATCATTCTGAACTTGGCTTAGCAGAAAGGTTTTTGAAGGCATTATTGGATATTCCGTTTGCTTTTCAAAGACTAGAAGCACTTCTTTTCATGGCTTCCATGCCAGAAGAAGTTTCAACTGCCACGGAATCGTTTTCTACGCTAGAGGTAAGATCTGGTCCAGCATTTAATTTTTCAATCATGACTTGTTGTGTTTTTCAGTTCTAACCATACAACTAGTTCAGTATTGCATTTCAACATCTACTTATTAAACTGTAGTTTAGAGCAAAGAGAAAAGGTTAAATATCGAGAAATCAAAACATTTACAAACATCTAATATGGGTTAATAGAGAAGCATTTTGACTAGGACAATTTTCTTTTATTTGAACTTTTTTCTTTATTGTCCTGTGATGAGTGGGAAGGTCAATGTGTAGAAAGTGAATGTATCTATGGTTGTACTCATGTTGGTCATAGACATTTTGATGCTTCCAGAACATGTGTTAGGACCCTTCAATGCATGTTTGGGGAAAAAGGATAACTCACCTAAAACATGGTGGACAATCCATTCACTAGCATTTTACTTTATCTATGCGGACCATGAAAAACTACATTATCTATGAAATTATGCATGTGCAGTATACATGTGGGATACAAGTAGATCAATTTTAAAGCTTCTGAGCATATGTTGTATACTGGCAAGACTAATGTAATTTAATACTATGATTTACTCTGGATGTGAATGATGTCCATAACATTATCCATCCATAACTGGATCCCTTAAGTTATATATCATGATAATCACAGGTCGTCCAAATTGTACAAATTTGTTTCTTGTGTGTTATTATATATTTATAGCAATACATGAACATTATGTTTTCTCTTTCCAATTGCCATGTATGCCACATGGCATTTCATATTTTTCCAAAATTTTGTGTGTTGACATGTCAGTGCAGTGGGTTTTCTTTCCCAATGCCTGTATTCATAGCAAAGCTAAAGTTTAAAATCCCTGTCAGTTTTTCATGGATTTTTCTTGTCAGCAAAGGAAGGTGGCAACCAAGATAATTTGAGAGGATATGAAACAGTACTTCTTCTATGTGCAGTGCTCTATGTTCTCTTTTCATCAGTGAGGTTCATAATCATCAAAAAACTTGAAAGATGTTTTTATCAAGGCACCATACGTATGGGGACATTGCCGTTCTCATATTTGATATGACTGACCATAGGAAGTAAAGCTTTTCCAGTACCAGTTCCACTAACATGGATATCTCTAAATTATTTTCTTTTTACGCATTATTCTTATCAGGTGGCCTGTGAAGAACTAAAAAGTAGCCGTCTGTTCTTGAAGCTATTAGAAGCTGTCCTTAAAACTGGCAATCGCATGAATGATGGTACCTTCCGTGGGGGAGCACAAGCATTCAAGCTTGATACACTCCTGAAGTTGTCTGATGTTAAAGGAGCCGATGGGAAGACAACATTATTGCATTTTGTTGTTCAAGAGATAATTCGATCTGAAGGTGTGCGTGCTGTACGAATAGCCAGGGAACGAAGTGGGAGCGTCTCTAGCCTGAACTCTGATGATCTTAGTGATGATTCACTCCATGAATCTGAAGACTACTTCCGAAAACTTGGTCTTAAAATTGTTTCAGGTCTTGGAGATGAACTTCAAAATGTCAAGAAAGCAGCATCTTTGGATGCTGATGCCTTGGCAACTTTGGTGGCACAGCTTAACCACAGGTCGGTGAGGACAAAGGAATTCCTAAATACAAGCATGAAAAGTCATGAGGAGGAAAGTGGGTTTCATCACATACTCAAGAGTTTCATGGAGCAAGCTGAAACTGGAATCAGTTTCTTATTAGGTGAAGAAAAGAGACTAAGATTATTGGTAAAGAAAACCACAGACTTTTTCCATGGAAATGCTGGGAAGGATGAGGGCTTACGATTGTTTGTAATTGTACGGGACTTTCTTGTGATGTTAGATAAGGCCTGCAAAGAGGTGAGAGAAGCACCAAGAAAAGTTAAACAAGCACCCAGAAATAGAGAAACATCATCACCACTACCCGTGCCAGATCCAAAGCAGCTACTTTTTCCGGCGATAAGGGATCGGCGGGTCGATAGTTCTAGTTCGGATGATGAGAGCTGACTTTGGTTGGAACAGGTATTGTTGCAATTTCGCTAATTGGCTAATATTTCTCCTTATTTACTAGTCCATGGGGTTGCCTTCTTACTATTCTGCACAATATGGACCACATCCCAGAGGATTTACTAGACATCATTATACTAAAATATACAAGTAAACCTTCGTGCTATGCTAAGATTCCTCCTTTGAATCTTTTCTGGTGGCTATGATCTAAGTTACAAAGACAGTCTCTGCATGCAGGGGTTTGGTTTTATTCATCAATCCTGGGTTTTGTTGGAGATTGATCGTTGAGCCAGTCCTCGGATCTGGCTAAAGTACATATTCTGTGAACAGGTTGTGTATTCTTTGTCAACGAAACTTTTTCAATAGCAGAGAGAAATAACTCTTAGACACAGTAACATAGGGGACAACAATTTGCTATGAAACTTCAAAAATATTAATTAGATGTATCTTCTAGTGCACACCTATTTGATCATCACATCTTCACCTCACTTGAAGCAATAGAGTTTACTTTATTTCTTATTTCTAGTAAAGAATGAAGAACTAAGCCACAATGATTCTGTCGAAACATGAAACCTGACTTGATATCTCACTAATAAGCAACTGTTTACTTGCAACTCAGTTTGATTCCATCACATCTTCAAAAGAAATGCAACATTTTTATATTCTAATCGAAGAAATTTATACAATCTTTTTTCTTTTTGGAGTGAGAAAGCTGTACTATATGGAAAAGTAGTCAATGATTCCAACTTGCCTTTTATTTGCAGTTGCCACAAAGCTATCATTTTGCAAATTGTGTTTCTGTAGCAGTACAAAATGTTATGGATTTATCTTATGTATCTGTTGCAGATGTCAGTTCTGTTCATTGCAGGCTTGTTCTGATTTTTCTGGTGGTGTTGCCACAGGACTCATAAGGTGCTGAAAACTACTACTCGAGAGGCCCATTGGTGATCGGCTCGCCGTTGAGCATGGTTTAATGATCTGAATCTGATCGATTATGCTCTGGGAATCACAGACTTGAAAGCCTGGTTCTCAGAAGCTCGAACAACCACATCTGCACCTGATGCCCGCGCCACCGACCAAGGCTGCATCATAGAATCATCCGATGCTTTCAACACATCTGGATTCAGGTCCTCGCCACTTGCATCAGGAAGTTAGACTAGTTTTGTTATACTAGCAGATTGTGCCTAGTGAACAGCTTTAGAACAATAAATTTTGAATCATAAGTTAATTCTTTCATTATACATTGATCTCTTGGAAGTAAAAGATGGGAGCAGTTCATGCCTTGTTTCCTCGTTGGCGACAGCTTTGGTCTATAAACTATGAATCTGTACATGCTACTCAAACTGTATATGGACAATTAGACTACAATTACTGTGATTACTAGATCAAAGAACATCATTTCAGTATACTGAAACAATAAACTCAAAGTTACTCTCTGCTATTAGATTAAGATCTTTAAAGTTTTTTGATGGCTAGATTAAATGAGTCTGAATTGTAACAGTTTTTTTTTATAGTGTTTAATTAAAAATATTTGTGAAATTCCGATTCATCGTTTCGATCTACATCATATGTTTAGATTTCATTAACATGTTAAATCTAAATCTATTTACTCATAAAAGGATATTAAAGTATATGTATTAAGTTCTTTATTTGAGATTTATGTTCTATCAGGTTGGCTTTCGGTTTCAAATCGACGATTCTAATTTGTCTGTCATTCATTCCAATTCCGAAATCATCAATTTTAATTTTCAAAATATAGAAACTATAATCGAACTGTTTGGATTTAGTTTCGAAATCGATTAAGTATCGAACGGAGTCGGTTTTTGGTTCGAATCTACCTCTGTGAGGGCTAACAATCGGTGATCGTGTACTCCGTCATCCTTTCGTCATCAAAGAGCAGCGTATTTGCCTTCGAGCGACTCCCATTCTCACACGGTCTCATGAATGCTTGTGTTCCTCACAACTCCACCAAGTCTTTGAGCAGACTCCTGCAGTTGTCGACCCTCACCCCTCTCCGTATACAGAGCTCGGATTGCCATTCGGTGGCTGGAGGAGCAGCCAGCGAACCCCTCGCCTCCCTCCAATGTGGGCGGCTCTTGCAGTCACTGACCAACTCCAGGTCGTTGGGCCAAGGCCGACGGCTCCACGCCCACATGGTCGCCTCCGGCGTCCTCCTCGACAACACCTACCTCAGCACCAAGCTCTGCGCTATGTACTCCGCCTGCGGCTGCGTGCGCGAAGCCCGGGTCATCTTCGACGGAATCGTCCTCAAGAGCTCGTTCCTGTGGAACGTGATGATCCGGGGCTGCGCCTGCGGTGGGTCGCCGCTCGAGTCGCTTCTCTTGTACCGTGAGATGTTGAAGTTTGGCAGAAGGTCGGATAACTTCACGTACCCGTTTGTGCTGATGGCATGCGGTGATCTATGCCTTGTTGAGGTCGGAAGAAGGGTGCATTCTGAAATAATTGTTTGTGGGTATGAGTCCGACGTCTTCGTGGCCAATTCTCTTCTGTCGATGTATTCCAAGTTCGGACAGATGGAGATCGCTCAGAAGTTGTTCGACAGAATGCCGGTTAAAGATTTAACTTCTTGGAACACGATGATTTCAGGTTATGCAAGGAATAATGATCCGGCGACGTCTCTGTCGCTCTTTGCTGATAGGCCTCTCACCGGAAGTCGGCTGGATGAGGCGAGTCTTCTGGGTGTACTGCCTGCTTGTGCAGATTTGATGGCCCTGAAGCAAGGGATGGAGATTCATGCCTGCATTCTTCGTAGTGGCATGGAAATCAATGGTTTTTTGGTTAATGCTCTGATCGATGTCTATGCCAACTCCAAATTCATCGTAGGTGCCTGGCGTTTGTTCAAGAACATGTGCAGGAAAGATACTGTCTCATGGAACTCCATGATTTCTGGTTATGCTAGACATGGTGATGCTGCTGAAAGCCTGAGTCTTTTTCGTCGAATGAACTTAGAGGGCGTAGTCCCTGATGCAGTAACTATTATAGCAGTGCTCGGAGCATGTGATCGGGTCGGAGCCATGCGATTTGGAACAAGCCTTCATGCTTATCTCATTGGAAAAGGGTTCGAAAACAGGGTGACTGTGGGGACTGCACTTGTAGACATGTACGCCAAGTGTGGTAGCCTGGAGTGTTCTCGTCAAGTTTTCGACGAAATGCCAGTGAAAAATTTTGTTTCCTGGAGCGCAATGATTTCAGGGTATGGACTCCATGGAAGGGGAAGGGAGGCACTTGCTTGCTTTGATGAGATGAAGGCAAAGGGTATCAGACCAGATGAGATCACCTTCGCATCGGCTTTGTCAGCATGTGGTCACACAGGACTGGTCCGTGAGGGTAGGGAGATCTTCTACCAAATGTCAAAGGCGTACTGCTTGAAGCCTAAGGTTGATCACTATTCCTGTGTGGTGGATATTCTTGGAAGGGCTGGGGACTTGGAAGGAGCATACAAATTCATCATGAACATGGATGCAAAGCTGATAGCTGATGTTTGGGAAGCACTTCTTTCTGCTTGCAGGATTCATCACAATGTTGAGCTGGCTGAGATTGCTGCTAGGAATATTATCAGTCTAAAACCTGAACACATTGGTCCTTATGTCACCCTCTCTAGTTTGTATGCTGCCGATAAAAGGTGGAGTGATGTGGAAAGGATCAGAGGTTTGGCAAGACTAAATGGACTGAAGAAACCACCAGGTTGCAGCTTTGTTGAGTCAGATATCATGATCTACAGGTCTCTAGTAGGGGACAATTCACATCCTTAATCCAAGCACACATATCAAGTTACATGAATCAAGACAACTGCTGAAAGAAGCTGGTATGTCCCAGATACCAGATATGTTTGCTATATACCAGTTACTTGGAAGTTGGAACCACTACTTGCATGATGAAGAACATCTGTGTTTCTGGTGATTCACATTTCACGATGCTACAGAACTAATTTCCTAACTTCCAAAGAAATTATTATAAGAGGTACCTGTCAATTTCAACATTTCAACAATTGCTCTTCATCCAGTGGTGATAATTAGTGAGTTTCTTTATGATACACAATTCACAAAGCTCCAAATGATACGTAAACATTTATGCCAACCCCTTCAAATTCTTATTAGAAGTTTATGTTATCAGTTTACACTATAGAAACTTACTGTTGCTACCATGCATCTTTTGTTGGCTTCATTGTTTTGATGTTATAAAAATCTTTGTTACCAAACCCTGGAAATTGTCTTGTACTCTGACTTGGCTGTTATCTTAATTAGGAAAACTTAGAAGAATGTCATGTACCTCTTTCAAATTAGTTTATTCTCCAAATTGTAAGTGACAACCTTCAAATAATCTGTATTACCAATTAGTTCTTTTTGGTTTGATCTACTTTATCATCTTTTTTCATATTCATGAAAGTAGTGGGCAACAACACAAAAATATATGACAAGAAAAGCTGCAGAATCTTGTAAGAGAGTCTCATATCACAAAGTAAATATCAGGGTCCTAATTAACATCATTTTAGAGATGCTAAACCAACATAAAGTTCCTGAAACTTTATTCTTGATAGCATTTTTCTAGTAGTCTCACGCATACATTATCACACACAACATGGAATAGACATTATTAATGTCACAAGCTCTTACTTATTGTAGTTCACAAACTCATAACTAGGTTGATGTTCCTCACGGATCCACTGCAGGAAGGATCTTATTTATCTTATCTTCTTGATTGCTCAACCTAGGAAGTCTCGGAGGCCTCATCACTGAACATATCAGTGACTGGATCAAATGGATATGGCTCCAAAGGCTCTGTTGCTTCAAGGATCTTCTCGATCGGTATCTCTGGCTTCGATCTTTTCATAGGTGTGATGGGCTTGAAGAAATTCTGTGAATCCGGGCAATAATCCTGAAACAAACAACAGTGGGTTTATGATACAAGACACACGAAGAACATGCATCTGACTCCAGGAGAAGAACCTCAAATTACCTGATCAGCATGCATTTTCTTCACGAACAATTTAAATATCGCCCAGTTTTCGCTCTCCAGCTGAACGTCCGAGAGTCGGAGATACGTCAATGCAGAAATCCTCACTTTGGGAGGGCCGTTCGGATTGATCCCATTCGGCCTCGCGTTCCTCAGCATTACATTGTATGCTGCCGTGTCATACCGATTCAGTGCATTCTCGCAGGCTACTTCGATCCCCTCCCTCCACGCCGCACTCAGCACCTGGCAATATCTCTCGGGTTAGTCCAACTCCTGTGCCCTGTTGCAGTCTGCAAGGAATGTTACGCTTCGTAGTTTACCTGCTGCACGAGCTCCTCAGGCCGACTCTTGGCTTCTTCGGGTTGCTCGGAGTCTCTCATCTCGACGCAGGTAAAGTTCAGAACGGCATCGTGCCTCGTCAGCTGCCGTGCAATGGTTCTGTAGCCATCTCGCACCTTCAAGTTGTAGTAGCCCGCGGTGAGCTCTGCTGCATGGCTATCGTCTTTGTACCACCAGTGAACACCAGACACCTGATATGGATTCGTACAGCATCAGGTATCACTCGAAACAACGGCGAGATCTTCAGTCATGTACACATACTTTGATGGCAAGCTTCAGTTTGCATCCGAGGAAAGCCTGGTTGGCCCGATCAAGGATCTGGTCTGCGTGCTTCAGCAACTTGTTGGAGTACCAAGTCAGGAAGAACTTCCCCTTCTCTGTGAGGTACGTCCCGTTCTCTGCAAAGAACTTTGTCTTCTCGGGGGTGTCATTGTACTCACCTGCATCATCTGGCAACTTCCAATCAGGATGCCCTGCCTCGGCTACAGCTTGACGGAAATCTGCCGTGACATACTTGTCGTAGCACGGCAACATCATTTTTTGTCGAGGTCGATGCAGAAAAAAGGTTCTCTGATATGATTGATGACATTACAGAGAGCGTACCTGAAACTCCCCAATGCCCGGGAAATTCCATCCCTGGACCTGTGGATAGGATGGGTACCTCAATTCTCCGGCAGGGCCGAGGCCTACCTCTATGTCCCTGATAAGACAAGCGTGCAGGAAGTCCGCCATGTTCTCTCTGAAGCTTTTCATGAAGTCGCTGTAGAGCTGTCATGGAAGAAGACCGAAGATTGTGTTACAGATACAGGAACATTCTCAGCGTTCCATTGTTTTCACGTGTACTTTGGATGTTCTTTATCTTAGTGCTGATTAGATCAGAGATGGAGACAGTTTACGTGTTCCCTGGGTTTTGCATGTTCCACGTTCAAGTTCTGCACTTTGCTTGATGCCATCACTTTGGATTGGCACTTTTGTTAGAATGAATGATTAGTGATTAGTGTTGATCAAGTCGAACCTCGACGGCGGTACGCCCGCCAAAGAGCGGCTCGTTATCCACCCCGAGGGAGAGGTACTCCGGATTCCTGGTGCCGCTCCTGTTCGTGTAGAAGATGTCCGGGTTGGCGGCGGCGACGTCGCGCACCCACTGCGGTATGGGGATGTAGACGGCGTCGCCGACGTTGCCGCCGCACTGGTGGAAGGACATGATGGCCTGCAGCTTGAGCCCCTCCTCCTGCACCATCTTGAACAGCTCTCTGTAGGCGCTCCACTCGTAGCACTTGGGGCCCTTGGTCTCGATGATCCCCCACCAGACATCCACCATGACGCCGTCGACGTTGGCCGCCCTGAGCTGCTTCAGCTGCTCCCGTAGCCCGTCGGGGTCGTCGAAGACGTTCTCGGCGTTGACGACGCCCAGCTGTGGGAGCAACAGCTAGGATCAGTCATATGCATGACGATGCCGGATCCATTGTGGAGGGTGGGCGAGGGACTTACAGGGAGCATGACGTAGACGGGGACGTAGTTGGCAAGCAGCGCGTCGTTGGTGGAGGCCAGCGCCATGGCTTGAGGGTGGTGGAAGGCACTCGAGTAGCTTCCTCTTCTTTGGCTCGCTACGGGGAAGGACGAGTGCATGCCTCTCCTTTTATACTGGCAGAAATGGTCCTATGTATTGGCGCATGACGTTTCCACGCCACATGGTTTAAATTGGTGATCTAATAATTGTCCTCAAGATTTTTCTATTTGTTTTATTTCATTTCTATTTTTCCTGCTTTAGAGAGGTTTATAGTTCTTTTATTCTGCCGCTTCGTCTTGCCAATCGTCACTGTCGCACGCTTTCTTTCTTTCTTACTTCATGTTATTGGAGCCAAAACAGCAAATTACATAGCAGATAAGCCCTCCGGAGATCCAAACAAAACGTGCCTCATCAGGCACGCATCAGATCTTGACAGGATAGCCAGACATATGCAAGAGTGATTGGATTCTCTGGCAGCATGCTTGTTATCAGGAATGCAACTCTGGACAGCCCCCAGCTTCCGGCAATGAACCACGACATGGGCGATTTTTGGCAGGATGTCTTTAACTGCAGTGCTGCAATCAATCCACAACTGTGGCGGCCACCACCACTCCACCTTCTTCGTAGATCCATCACACAAAGGCAGTATCTGAGTCAGGGATAAGACTCGAGAGTGCACTCAAATCCAGCCCTGTTTCCTTTTGCTATGGCTGATCACAGATGAGAAGAATACTCTGCATCGAACATGAGACAATGCATTCACCGAGAAGGCGATCATCTTCCTCTGCGATCTTGGCCGGGATGCAGCCCTTCCAGAAACGATGAACACGTGCAGACACAATGCGGGGAGAAGTCCACCGCCAGGGAGAGAGGATTTCTGCTCGTGATGAACAGGGAGGCTGTGTGTTGATGACTGTGAAGAGAGGAGACAGATTTCTTGTCCCATCAGATCAAATCGTCACAGTCATAATAGTTCCTGTGTGCGCGTAGGAAACAACGGTACTCGAAGCACCACAGAGCTCGGATTCGAAAGCATGCGAGTCTCCGACGTTGAAGAGAGGAGAGAGGGGTCGCCAGAGAAACGGACGAGGGGAGTATGGAAGCATGGCGGAAGGCGACGAGGCGTCAGTATGTGTCACTCTTTGTCCGCTATCGTAGTGGAGTCGGGCGACCGTCGGACGCCTCCCTGGCTCGGGTCTGCTTCACGACCGGGAAGGAGCCGCCCATCCCTTTCCGAGGAGAAACTGATGTGATGCTGCCATGGACGCCCACGTGAACTCACGGGACTCGCGCTGCTGTGCACAGGCCCCATTTGAGCATGGCCAACTATTGTTCTTAGCTGATGGCAGTACGCCGCAGAAGAAATCTTAGATTCCATACAATCTGATGGTAACATCCACCACCAATACCTCTGCTCCTGTGAGAGAAGGGAGAAGGATGAGTTTGAGATTGAACGAAGTGTGGATGGGGAGATTAATTAGTCGAATGGGTGGAGAAGACAAAAATGAAGATGTTGACTAATAAAGTATAGTTATTGCATTGTGACTTTTGATGGTGATCAGTTCGTGCTAATATGTAATTCGAAGAATCTGACATGAGAATGTCTGAATGTCATGTCATGTCACTTTGCAAATAAACACTACGTGCCAAATCTAAATAAATGGGATAAATTCTCAAAAAAAAAAACCATTCTAAGCTTTTATTTTTTATTTTTATTTTTCTGTTTTATTTTTATAAAACATTTATTATTTTCTAAAAAATGAGGTCCTTTATCGTCACATTCATCTCGTTATCTCTATCCTTGCTCTTATTTGTTGTACTCTCGTTTTGCTATCTTCATCCTTTATTCGTTATTGTCATATTCTTCGTAAGTTTTTCCATCGTTAAGTCAACACATCACAAAAGAATGTCACATATGTCAAGCATTAACGAAAGCCTCAGTCACCTATTGATTATGATCGTCATCGCCCAATAACCTCTTTCACCATCAATCAATCTCACATCTCTATCCGGGAGAAAGTTCAGGAGACATGATGCACTATCAAATTCACAAAACGATAGACGAATAGCATATATGATGATATAAAATTGTGACATAAAAGAATAAAGGTAGAGGTAGTGGATGATGGTGTGATCGCAATAGCGAATGCGGGCGAAGAATATAGTCGTCGAGGATAATCTAATTTTAAAAAAAATAAAATATGAAACTAAAAAATAATATTATATAGAAAAAAGAGAGATAACTTTGGTCTTTTTGGGAGATTTATCCAATAAATAAATAAAGAAAATAAGACGTAGGGCGCAAACGAACTGCGTTGCAGGGACGCAAACGTGTGGGGGCCACCGCACATCCCGTGAACGTGATAAAGAAGATAGTAAAGCAATAACAAAACGGGAATCGGGATTGATTAGGCGATCAGGGCCGTCCAAATCGAGATCACCCGTCCACGTTCCACCAGCTCGGAAAACTTCCACTGCAGAACCCGGACGGCCGTCCGCTAAAGTAGGACGCCATCCGCCCACGATCACGTGACATCCGGCATGTCCATTCCGCTTCGGTATTCGTGAAATCCCATCGATCAAGCCATCTGGCGTAAAAATGAAAGGAAAAAGATAGCCTTCCAACACTAATTTAATGCCTCTCGCTCTCTCTTTCTCCCTCTATAAATATTAAAGAAGAGCGGTCGAGCGCATCAGCCACAAATCCTCTTCCTCTTCTTCTTCGCCTATCTGTGATCGCTGCGAGAGGCGTACATCTCGTCCTCAGCGCGGTAACAAAAAAGGATCCTTTTTCCCTTCCTTTGTACAACAAGATCTGTTGCTTCATGCGCTTTATTGATTATTTTGGCTTGCTTCTGTTGATCGGGAAGTTAAGACCTCCGGTTTTCTTTCGTGGCATCTGTTATGTTGGATCTGCTGCTTGATGGGCTTCCATGTTGTCCAAGGATGCAAGGGTGGGGGGAATTACCGGTTCCAAGTGTTAGAATCTTGACCTAAAGACAAATAGTTTTTGTCCCGTTTTCTCCTTCCCTTTCTTAGCATTTACCTGGACAAAACGAAATTGGAAAAAAGAAAATGTTTTTTCCTGCTATTTATACCATGTTGCACCTGAAACAGTTTGTCGATGTGCTGTCGATCAGAAAATTAGAAAAAAGAATATACTTTTTGATGCGGTCGATCTGCTCTACATCGCATCACTTTGATCCTTTTGTTTTTGTTTTTATCGAGTGATTATTGGTGCATTTAAGCTGTGCCCTAATTATCTCGGTTGATGAAGGATGTATGTTGATCAATCGAGCAGTCAGGCTGTTGTTCCTTAACGATCAAATCTCCAATATGATAAGTCGAATCTGACTTGATGGTATTAAGATCAGGGGTTATGGTGGTACCTTTCGTACTTTTGTGTTTTTCCCTAAAAAAGATGGTTTGTCTCCCTAAAAAGGTGAAAAATAGTCTTGTCTTCAGATTTCAACCAAGATCAAGTGAAAAATTCATCAATTCTCAAGGAACCAAATGATTTTTATTAAAGAAATGGACATGGTAATCATTTATATTCTCTCCTTTAGCAATTTAGAACTGTCGCACAAACCATTGATTCCAACTTTTTGAGGTATGGCTGAATGATTCTTGTCCAACCTTTAAACTTTTCTGACAAATGACAAACCACTTCATGACATAGTTAGCTCATAGTCATGTGGTAAACACATTTTCATGTATAGCATCCCCTTCCCAGATGGGTTAACTTTGTTTATTGCTTAATGTTTTGTGCAACTGATCTCGGTTCATTTTTCCATGCAACTGTTTATGTGATTTTGTCATCCCTGCCAAGGTGCTATTGTTGATTTTCCTTGGGAAGTATGGTTAAATTTTGTATATACTATCTCTTCTTTGATGACGCTCGTCATTTGATTGCCCCAGTAAAAAAATATGAGCTAAATGACACATCAAGAGATCTTCTGAAATATAACTGTGGTAATTTGTTGTTGCTATCAATTAGTTTCCATCCAATTTTTTCATCCTGTTCTTGATCAAGTACTTTTGCCTCTGATTATTTGTAAAGCATGTTGGACATCTAAGTGCATGTTATTTAATGTGGCCTTGATATCGATGTACTTAGGTTTTCACTTATTATTATCCTCTTTCATGAAATAATGATTTTCTTTCTTGAAGAAATAAACCTGATCTTTTATGAGTTTTTTTTCGTGTCTTACCAATGCGTCTTGCAACATAGCTGAGCAATTGTCATATTGAATTATTGTCTCGATCTCAGCTGAATGCTAACAGTGTCCATATTGTGTGGTTTAAATTTGATGCAGCTGTAGAAGCCAGTGAACCTTTGTTCAGTCTTTCCCTTCGGTAGTTCCAGTGTTCATGTCTGATCTCGACGTTCAGATCCCAACTACTTTTGGTATGTTCACAAAATCCCATTCCATGCAATTTTGTACAGTTATACCTGGTTATGTGTTTGCTTGGAGTGTTTCAACAGCTTAACGTTAGAGAAGCTTACGTCTACCTGGAATTCATTATTTTGGTAATTCCGTCTCTTTTGGTTTAGATCCATTTGCTGATGCGAATGCTGATGACTCTGGTGCTGGTGCAAAGGAGTATGTGCACATCCGCATACAGCAGCGGAACGGCAGGAAGAGTCTAACTACAGTGCAGGGATTAAAAAAAGAGTTCAGCTATAACAAGATCTTGAAAGATCTGAAAAGGGAATTCTGCTGTAATGGTACTGTGGTTCAGGACCCAGAGTTGGGGCAGGTATTGCATTATGGTCTTTCTTTTAGCTAGATGCATGCATTTATTGTCGCTAGAATCGGTATTGATCAGTGGAGCGAAATAATTTTTTGTAGGTCATTCAACTTCAAGGTGATCAGCGGAAGAATGTCTCCAATTTCTTGGTTCAGGTGCTTATTTTTCTCCCATCTTATTCTAGATTATTCTTGCTTATATAGTGGTAAATCAGGGAATGTACAAGAATAAACTGTGTTATTTTCTCTCATCTGATGGTGAATGAAGATATATCTCTCTTGCTTCTCATGGTGCAGGCTGGAATCGTGAAGAAGGAACGTATCAAAATTCATGGTTTTTGAGAAGTTGTTCGTGAGGCTTTCACAGACTTCCATTGAAGATATATGTCCATCATC